TGTCTCTCACCTGTCCGTCTCTCACCTGTCCGTCTCTCACCTGTGTGTCTCTCACCTGTCCGTCTCTCACCTGTCCGTCTCTCACCTGTCCGTCTCTCACCTGTGTGTCTCTCACCTGTCCGTCTCTCACCTGTCCGTCTCTCACCTGTGTGTCTCTCACCTGTGTGTCTCTTACCTGTCCTTCTCTCACCTGTCCTTCTCTCACCTGTCCTTCTCTCACCTGTCCGTCTCTCACCTGTGTGTCTCTCACCTGTCTGTCTCTCACCTGTCTGTCTCTCACCTGTCTGTCTCTCACCTGTCCGTCTCTCACCTGTCCATCTCTCACCTGTCCGTCTCTCACCTGTCCGTCTCTCACCTGTCTGTCTCTCACCTGTCTGTCTCTCACCTGTCCGTCTCTCACCTGTCCGTCTCTTACCTGTCCGTCTCTCACCTGTCCGTCTCTCACCTGTGTGTCTCTTACCTGTGTGTCTCTCACCTGTGTGTCTCTCACCTGTCTGTCTCTCACCTGTGTGTCTCTCACCTGTCTGTCTCTCACCTGTCTGTCTCTCACCTGTCTGTCTCTCACCTGTCTGTCTCTCACCTGTCTGTCTCTCACCTGTCTGTCTCTTACCTGTCTGTCTCTCACCTGTGTGTCTCTCACCTGTCCGTCTCTCTCCTGTCTGTCTCTCACCTGTGTGTCTCTAGATGAGCTGTGCATGGATCAGGACAGTGAAGCACCAGAGGAGGAGCTCATCTGTCAGCTCTACAGCACCCTGAGGAAACACCTGGGCAGGTTTGTTCTGTGGATCAGACCAGATGTGTGTTGGTAGATAAATGTTATTTGTGTTGTTAACTAAGTGTTTTGTGTTTGTGTTGATCAGTGTGTTACCTGAAGTGTCGTCTGGGTGGTGGCAGCTCTGGAGTTCTGTCAAAGCTGGCGTCCTGCCATTCCTCAGAACAGCTGCTCTCTTCTTCCACTACCTGAATTCGACGGCGCCTCCTGCTGACCTTCTGGGTAAACAACAACAACAACAACAACAACAACAACAACTAGAACTGAAAGCAGTTGTGACAAGGATCCAAGCCCTTCAAATGCATGCCCCACTCAACATTTGCCCTTCCCACCCCAATCGTTCAAAAACATAACATTGTAGTACATAAGTCTTAATATTGGTGCCCATTTGTGACCTTAGGGTCTTACTAAAATTTAAATGTCAGTTTTCCCCACTCAGGATTCAGGGTTGGTTATTGTTATATGCTGGTTAACATTAGTCAACAAAACAATGGAATTATTAATATAAGAACCATTCAAAATACTAACGGCATACAATAGAAGCACAAAATAAAAATATAATATTTACAAAGTACAAGTGAAATATGGTAAACAATATAATAAAACACAAGTCTCTAGACCTGTCATTTCAAAACATATCAGTAGAAGAGATACAATTTACTGCTTTTTTGTAGGAAAATATGCCAATTAATGGACCCAAAACAAATCCATCAGTACTTTTTAATCTTTAGGAATGAATACTTTTGATTGTAATTGTATACCCAAACTCAACTTAGGCCGTATTAAACTTAAAATGTTTTGAAGCCCTCCAAATAATTCAATCCATTTTTATAAATATATATCTACATATTATAATAAACCAGTTGTTTCCATACAGTTTCCTGACTCCAAATTGTAATGACTGAAATGGTTTTTGTGTGTGTATTTTGTTGTAGTTGCAGGTCCTAATCAGTGGGAGGCGTTGTGCAGCTACCTCAGTCTGCCCTCCAACCTGCTGCTGCTGTTTCAGAGCCACCACACACTCCTGGAGCCGCTCATTCACAGGTAATACACCTGTACCATCACAAGTAACACACCTACCTAATCACAGGTCATAAATGTAGAAAATTACAGGCAACACACACAAACGGTTTTAACACAACAGTGTGTAGTTTTTGTTTAAAATAAAAGTAAATAATTTTTGTGCTCTTTGAGTCAGGCCGGCATTCTTGAGTCTGATCTACAAACTGTGTCGTCTACTGTGTTTGTTCTGGATAAAATAGTTCTGGAGTGAAAATCACAAACCACATACAGTAATAAAATATAAAATAACGCAGAAAGAATTATGTTTGACATTTAATAGATATAATATAGAGTACTGCAGAAATGCAGTTTGTCCACACAGTAACACCAGAGTCATTCTGTTCCCGTCTGAGGTATGAGGGACTGACAGAAAGAGCATGCAGCTCACCAACTCTAGATGAACCAACAGCTAACAGGAAAGCAGTCTTACATTACAGCTACTTAAGACCAGCTTGCACAAGAAGTTCAAATGGACGGAAGAGGGCTTCCAGCACCAAGGGCAAGTCCCAAACTGGGGCCTGAGGCATTGCTGGTGGGCACAGCCTGCAAGCACCACGCAGGAAAAGAGAAACTAAGGCTCGCCACTGCACAGCCATCAATGCCAGCATGGCCACACCATGTTGCTACCACACACACCTTGAGTGGTAAGGGATAGTCTTATCAAGGAGAGACCGGAGAAACTCCAGGATCACACTTACTGGACAGGAAACTGATCCTCAATATGGGTGGAGCACCACTGGGAGAACAGATGCCACCTGTTCTCATACTGTTGGAGAGTAGGCGGTGCCCTGGCACTTAAAATGGTGCATCTGACAGAGTCAGAGTACCCAGTTAGTTGCAGCCCAAGCCCTCCAGCAGCCACTCGCACAGCTGGAGACACTGAGGATTCACATGCTGTTTCTGTCCCTCCACCTGAGACAGCAGGTCCCTCCTGGTCAGAAGACACCATGGGATACTGCAGCACAGCCTAGAAGTGGGAATCACAGCCACGCTGGCCAGTACAGAGCCACCAGCAATAACCTGTGGCACTCCTTAAGAACTCTCTGAAGAGTGGGCCAAATCATTGGAAGCAGCAGAAAAGCGTAGAGCAGGACCCTTGGCCAAGTATGAGCCAATGCATCCTGACCCAGTGCACCTCATGCCCCTGTGAGGGCGAACCCCAGGGACAATGTGTCGACTGCTGTGTGGCAAAAAGATCTACCTCTGTCTGACCAAAGAGGTCCCAGATTATGTGCACTATGTCACTGTGAAGAGACCACTCTCCCAGTGAGAGAGAGAGTCTGCGATCTGGTTGTACTGTCCTGGCAAATACACTGCCTGCAGGGTGGACAGGTGAGAATAGGCCCATCCCAGGTTCCTGGACACCTTCAGAAGCTGCGCTGACCTGGTGCTGCCTTGGTGATTGATGTGATAGACCACAGAGGTGCCTTCCCTCCAAGTGGGGGAGAAAATGCCTTAGAGCCAAATGTACAGCGCACAGCTCCAGCACATTTGTGTGTTTGCAGTGACCCTTTGGCTCCAGCAACCCTGAACTGCTCTGTGTTACCACACGGTGCCCCATGCTGTGGACTACCTCTCTGAGGCACACTACCATCCCCACAGGGACACCGTTGGACAGATAAATCCTGTCTCTCCATGGAGACAGGGCACCAAGACACGACCGTGTTGCTTTGAGTTTGTGATGCCTGTGCACCCTGGCATCTGAGAAGGAGGTCTCTGCAGACCATGTTGTCCTGTGGGCGGAGACGACCTAAGTTGTGATTGGTCAGATTGTCGGTGGGGTTTGAGGAGGCTGGAGGTAGCAGGGAGTAGCTTGATGGAGTCGAGCAGAAAGCAACATGTTTTTTAAGATTAATTTTAGTCAAAACTTGAGAAAAGAAAGAGCTAGCTGCACGAAATTTGAACGTCATACATGTGAAAGGATGTGTAACAATATGGCTTGGTCAAAACATCCCTAACCAGCCTGGAAAAAAAGATTTTTAGCTATCTTTTTACAGGCTGGTTAGGGCTTGAATAAGGCAGAAATTAATCAGGCTGAGTTGGAGAACAGGGGCGCTAAAGCAGCCGTCACAAACACAGCGAATTAATTTGAAGAACCAGAACTCCAACAGCTCAAAACAAGAAGTCTTGTTGAAACTGGGAGAGGGTGTGAAAAAACACCACCTTCACCAGTTAAAAGAGACAGATGGCTCTTCACCAGCAAACAGCACAGACCTCTCTGAAGATTCAGCCGTCACAGCCCAGGAGGGTGAACTTTGCCCCTCGATCAGACATCCTGCCACAGTGAAGTGATCAAAACTTTGTGAAGGCTAATGCCGAGCAAAGATGCGAACAGCACACGAGAAGAAAAAAGAGCAGAGCTTGGATGTTCAAGGTAATGATCCGACGAGTCACAGCTGTGACTTTTTACTGTTATTTACTGGAACAGCACGTGTGAAGAGAACATTCAGTGCTTTCAGCACTGCCCTCTGGTGGTCAGTAGGGATGAAATGGAACTGAAACAGCATATCTCAGGACAGGAGCTGTAGCACTGACCACTGCCTATCCTGCAGACGGCTGCTTCTGGCCTCACCGACATCAGAAAGACCCACCCTGTTCTGCTCTGACTGGATAAAACTGATTTGTTGAAAGCAGCGTCCATTCCATCTTGTTGTCAGATTAGGGGGCTTTAACAAGACCAACAGAAAGCAACCAGAGATTTTCTTTTTCCTCATTTTTAAGATGAGGAAATTCTGTCCTGGCCAAGTTCAAAGGACTGAAATCTGTCATGGTGCAAGAGAACTTTAAGCCCTGTGAGCATGGCCCACACAGCCAAAAAAGACAAAACTACCGTATTTATTCAAGTATAATACGTAAAATTTAATCCATAAAATCATCCATAAAGTTGGGGGGTAGTATTATACTCAGATAAATATTTTTACTTATGTATTTTAACTGAAATATTGGCAAAATTATTGAGTCCGGAAATGAGACCGCGTTGTAAAAAGCAGTTGAAAGAGCTCACCTGTGACACTCCTCAATTCTTCAGAGTGAAATAATAACAGATCCAGGCAGGAGACATGATGTGAAAGAAAGGGGGAAAACTAGTCCTGCAGCTCAGTAA